AGTGGGGGGCAGGGTGAGAGGGGGCAGGGTAAGTGGGGGGCAGGGTGAGTGGGGGCAGGGTGAGTGGGCAGTGCTGAGCCCAGGAACACAGAAATGGGCATCTCTTGTGGGCCCAGGAAGCCCGTCGGATGGAGTGGAATTTGGAGAAGTCTGGTGTCCTCCTGTGGCTGCTGGACCCGAGTGGGCTCCATGGCTGCAGGAATTCCCGGAGTCCGGACCCACAGGTCAGCCCCAGGCCTCTGAGAGCTGTGAGGAGTTTGAGGCCCCTCCCCGGGCACAGCTAAGAGCAGTCCCTTCCCTGGGAGGCTGAGGCTTCCCACTGAGCGGTGGGTTTAGCTGCAGCTCCTCCCTGAAGTGGTAGCAGTGGCTCTGTTACTTCATGTTCACATTTGATCCTTGACTCAGGCAAGTTATTTTTACTGCCACCTACCACTGCCGCTAGCATTGTGACCCCCCCTGACGGTACGCCCAGTGCTGCGCTGGGCGGTGGGCCGCCTTATCCCTTTGGTCCTCACAGCATCCTGGGCCGGTGCGTCCTCCCCGGTGTGCAGGTACGCACTGAGGGGTCTGGAGGCGGCCTCCAGGGTCACGCCACCGCAGGGCCCAGACGCCGTCAGTCCCGGTCTGGAGGCCTTTATCGTGGTAGAGTCTGTGTGGCCACCTGTGTTTGCATCTTTGAGAAACATCGGTCATTATGGATAGCACCGTTCATCCATGAGATTCCCGTGCTCCTAGTCTTCCTCTCTTTGTGACACCAGAAGGCCTGAGGCACCAGACGGGGGTTCCTGGTGTCCCTGGTCCTCTGACACCCCTGGGCTCACAGAGGGGGTCACACACCTCATTCTCAGGAGCTGGGCGGCTCTCCGTCCTGACTGAAGGAGCCTGGCCTCAGGGTGGGGGTGGGGGGGAGTTCCTATCAAAGCTCCTCTCCCCCCTCGTCGTCATTTCTTTAGATTCAAAGATGGAAGTGTTCTGATGATGTGTTTCTGAGCAAACCCAGCTGGGCACATACGTGGCAGCGGTCCTCAGACTTGCACGTGAAAGGAAAGCTATTCTGACTTAGACCTGCAGGGCCGGCATCACTGAACGAGGCATCAGGACTGTTTTCATCTGATGGGACAGAGCGAGGCAGTTTGAATGTGTGGCCAACAAGCCTTACTTTGGATCTTGGAGAAGTGAAAATCCTATGTAATAAAGAGGGAATATGATAATTGACCCTCACACCATCGCAAATATGGCGGTGCCCACAGCCAATAAGGAGGGAATATGCTAATTGACTGCCACACCCTCAAAAATGGCAGTGCCCACAACCAATAAGGAGAGAATATGCTAATTGACTGCCACGCCCTCAATGATGGTGGCGCCCACAACCACAAGATAGTGGTGCCCAGTCCCCTCAGCCCCTCCAGGGCAGCAGGTGTGTGGCAAGGCCGGGCCCACCCCCAGGCGGGCCCAGTTGCTCAGTACACCTGCCTCTGGAGCCCAGTCCCCCCCTCAGCCCCCCAGCCACCCAGGGC